GCCCCTCCCCCACCCCCCACACACAATTTCAAGATTCAAGTGGAAAAATTTTCCAGGATGGGTGGAGCTTCACCAGGCTGACTGACTCACTGTGGTTGGATTCAGACTACCAGGGAAGGCTGGCTTCAGACTATAATTAGGCCAACACTGCAGCTGGTTTTACTGGCATTTTCACGTTAAAGACAACATTACTAAAAATGCGTAAACAGGAGGGGGCGCTGGAGGCCCCCTTAGGACCTTATGGCCATAGATTCCCCACCTCTCCGTAGCTTTTCCATAGCATCTGCCATTTGATTCTATAAATAAAACCACATTACGTATTTTGCCAATGTAAACCCCTTTCTCTGAATGGTTGGTTCTCTCATTTCCCAAGGAGCCTTGGAAACTACTGGAGTAATCTTGGTTCTGTCACATTAAACCTATATAGCCTTCGGTAAGTTATGTGAGCCTTGGTCTCTTCACGGGTCTAATGGATGTAGTAATACCCATCTCATAATTAGGAAAATGAACTGAAAAAGAGTTGAAATAAAGTATATTAAGTATATCTAGAAAAGTATCTAGTGTATGATAAACACCCAATAAATATTATTTATTATTATTAGCTACTATGAATGATCTTGCTAATAAGTCCTGTCAAATATTTTAAAAGGTTTCTGCTTCTTTCTCTTACTTGGCTGTAGAACTTTATCATAATCCCAGTTTAGGTGGAAAATGGCCTTCCTTTAAACTCACTGTTAAAAATAAATGTACTTTTCTTGACTTCCCAGTTTCCTATCCTAACCATTCAATATCCTCCTTAGAAACATTTGACTTACTGTGAGTACACTTCAGTGAGTCCTGAGTAGAGGCTGGGGGGATCCACATCCAACAAGTTTAGTTCTGGTGGTGGTGTGTCTTTACTGAGCACTTACTATGCCCCAGCATTACGCTAAATTCTAGAGGCTAGAAAAAGAAAAGGAGGTGTTTTCTACCCTGGAAGTGCTTAGAGTCAGGGCACATATTTTGAGATTGGAGAGTCAGGGAAGGCATCCTAAAAAAAAACAGAAAATGGCTGAATCTTGAAGGATGTGTAGGTTTTAACCAGGTAAAGANATTGGAGAGTCAGGGAAGGCATCCTAAAAAAAAAACCAGAAAATGGCTGAATCTTGAAGGATGTGTAGGTTTTAACCAGGTAAAGAATAGCAGAGAAAAGGCATTCCAGGCAGAACCAAGACTGGGAAATATCACACAGCTTGGAATTGCAAGCCGTTCAGGATTAATGGAGTAGAAAACATGTGCTGGAGAATACTGGGAGATAAAAGTAGATTTCCAGTTTACCCAGAGAACAGAATTGCACTCTGTACCTGTCTAAATAGGAGGAGCTAATGGTTCCGGTTCCATTATCACCAAACCTTCATCGGCTGAGCTCCCTAACCTAGAAAGTACGCACTCTTTTAAATCACAGAAATGACGAGTGTTTTCAGGCCCACATTATGAGACATTAGGTAAGACCCTTGGTTACTTTTTGTGTCTTTATTTCTCATTTCTAAACTGGGGTAATAATCATGCTTTCCTCGCAGGGCTGTCATCAGCATTAAATGAGATGATACTGCACATGCTTAAAACAGTACCTGACACATAGAAAGTGACCGAGATACGTCAGCTAGTACTATCCACGTGTGCTCTAGTCTCACTCATCCCAGACACGCTGGGGGTGGGGTGGGTACTGTAATCGGAAGGAGTTTTTCTCAACACCGTTTACATGTAAGAATCTTTCAGACCCGATAACCTGTCAGGATTTATGATCATGGTACATAAACTCTATGGCCCTGAAAAAGTCACCATTTCTGAGCCTGGCAAGGACCTCTCTGACAAAAAAGTGTGTCACAGCTGTTGTTATTTATTAATACTTGACACACAGGGAAGAGATTTAAAATATCTCCTATTGGCCTTTTCTCTGAGTCCCGGCTTGGTTTCTGTCGGTGGTTCCCAGCGTAAGGACTAATCAGGGCTCTCAGGCCTGGGTGTTAAAAGAACTTAGAGCCCCGCACCGGAAAGTTAGGCGACTTCTGTTTGCCACCCAACTCAGCCCTTTCTTTTCCCTCTCCCACAGCACCCGGCCATTCGTTCTGTCAGTGGAGGTGACAGCCCTCGCTTCTATGTTCCAAATCCCCTCTCAACCAGGACGGCGACGGGAGGCCCGCTTTCGGGGAGCTGCGCCCCAGCCGGGAGGCGCACTGAGGCAGAATCCGGGGCGAAAGAGGAAGGGGCTGGGGGCTCACCCGCCCACCCCCACCGTCAGCACCGCGGCCGTTCAGAGGTNAGTGCCCCAGCCGGGAGGCGCGCTGAGGCAGAATCCGGGGCGAAAGAGGAAGGGGCTGGGGGCTCACCCGCCCACCCCCACCGTCAGCACCGCGGCCGTTCAGAGGTTCAGTCTTCAAAAGCCACTTAATGTTCCTGAGAACTCTGTGTCCTAAAAAGCACACACCCAGGATCCATGACAACTCCGGGTGAAAACCAAACGAAACCAAACCGAGAACAGGCTGTTTGTCAGCCCACGGGACGTGGAGCATCTTCTCGGTCCACAGGAAAATCTGGTAGGACGCGCATTAGCTCCCAGTGAAACATTTCCATCTACAAACTGAGGGAAGGCAGGGCAAACCCATGTCAACGCTGCTTTATTAACCCTGTTTTGAAAATGGAATTTTATTATTTTATGTCAAAAACTGTCGATTCAAGAATGGAAGAAACCCACGGATCTCAGGGTACAGACACACAGAACTCCCCTGTTGACTGATGCCTGGGTAACCCCCAGGGGGCACCAAAGAACTGTTTCTATTTTTAGCGCACAGCCGGGTAAGAAATCCTGGGTGCTCTTCTGGGTCATAGAAATGCCAACAGATGGGTTCTCTTTGCGCAGCCTTCCTGGGACCAATCCAGGGTGCCGGGAGCTGGGGACCTGCATTACGTTATCAGTAATCTGGCTCGGCCAAATCTAAGGATAAACATATCAAGACACAGAGCCAGCACTTCAAGAGTTGAGTGTGGAGTTTCAAGCCACAATGACAGATTCTTGTTGAGAAGCAAATGGTTGTGGCTGAGCCACCTCACACTGTGGACAGTATCCACATAAGTAGAGTTGTCCGAGCCAGCTACAGAAAATATAGCGCCAGCCAAGTGGGACTAGGTTCCCTGGGCTTGGGTGCCATTTAAACCTCCTGACTTGATCTGAGGAATAAACCAGGGATGAAAATGGTGTGGCGGCAGAATCGCTGGGACAGGCAACGACCCACACACCACACCGCTCAGCACACAGCTACTATTGGGACACACGGTCGCACAAGAGACACCATTATGGTAAGAATGCCCACAGTTTTATAAGACATCACTACCCCATGGGGCTCCTTCTAATCGGGGTACCAATTACCCACCCACGTAACTTACCTTCTCAAAATCTCGAAGAGCCTGGGTCTGCACCTGAGGGGCTTTTTCAAATGCTCTCAGGTAATGCGTCTGCCCAGAGGGGACCTTCTCGCCACCTCTCCAGGTCTGGGGCTGCACTGGAGGGCCTCGATCTTTCGTGTCACTAAGGAAAGCTGCCAGTGAAACAGAACAACAGCTGTTACACAGTGATGGCATTGTGATCATCATAACCTGTATGATCCCGCAGAATCTGGCCAATTCTTGGGCAATCTCTCTATAGAGAAGCTTTCAGGTTATCATTTAGGAATAACAGTTGTAACAACCAACATCTTTAACTGGCATTGCAGGTTACAAAATAGTTGTACACGAATTATTTCATTTATAAAGGTCCTGCAACCAGTAAAACAGACCGATGTAATCATTAAATCCATTTTATGAACTAGTAAATAAAGGTTCAGAAAGTTTGCCTGATCAGGATTACATCTCCAAAAAGTGGCAGAACCATGCTCTCTCCACTCAGCTTTCCCAATCGTATGCTAGTACTGTGTTGTTTTAGCATCAGAGGGGATTGTAACACGGATAAGAGTTGGGGAGAGACAGGCAAAGGGACAGAGATGCCATCTTTCCAATAATCAAAGGAAGCACTGGCCTGGGGGAAGCTTGTGAGGGCGAAGCTGCTGCTGACCTCAGGCCCGCCTTTGAAAGTAACTCTGGGAATGAGTAAGAGCCCAGGGCTTACGTCAAGCGCAGCCCTCAGAGGGTCTGGATTGAGCGCAGGGCTGTACACTCAGGTAGACGACATAGGAAAATGTGTCTTTTCTTGGCTGAGGGGCGGAAACAATGAGCCTTTGTTACCGAACAGCTGTGTTTTTTGAAGTCAGAAAGAAGGACAGCCGTCAGGACACACTGAGCTCACCGACGTCAGGGCCAGTGGGAGCAGAGCGGGCTCAGTGCGCCCCACGGAGGAGGGGGTAACTGGACACAGACACAGGGGCCAAGGGGGTCCTGAGGGGCCAGGAGGCAAGAGGCCACCTCGCACTCTTCTGTCCTCTGTTTCCCTCTCCCGCCCGCCCTCCTGCCTTCCACCCTCCTTGGCTCTTTCCCTCTTCTCCGCCCTTGTGTGCTCTTAGCTCCTTGTCAAAAATTAACTGACCGTCGGTGCGTGGGCACTGGAAGCAACAGCACCAGAAGCAAAAGTGAGCAAGTAGGGCTGCGTTGGAGCAAAAGGCTTCTGCTCCGCCGAGGAAACTGCCAAGAGAATGAAGAGGCCGTGGGGTGGGAGACGACACCCCTCTCTCCCCCCCCTTTCTCTCTCCTCCCTCTCTCTCCTCCCGAACACTTGCCAGAGGGAGCGCAAGAAAAAGTACCCAGACGCTCCCATCGGCCGCTCAGAATTTTTTTAAATGCTCAGAAAAGAGCATTTTCTGTTTAAAACAAAAATGATAGGAGAAGAAAGACAAAGGGATGGGGAAGGGACAGTGAAGAGAAAGATGAGGCCTGGAAAGGACGCGGCGATGACACGCAGCACCCGTCAGGCGTCGGGGCAGCCTGTCCTGTCTGAAAGTCTTTAACCTCCCGTCACACCACCGATTCTACAGGAAAAAAAACAAAAAACCCTGAAGTGTAAGGCCGCACGGTTTCTTTCTGAACTGGATTCTGGACAGTGTCTTTTCGGTTTTGTAAAACTAATATACTTCCCCGGCCACCCACTAACCCCGTGTGGCGGAGAACAGGGGTTCAAGTCGGCACGGAAGCCGCACACAGGGGTTGCCAGCGCCCGGCAGCGCCGCACACAGAGGTGGCCCTTCCCCCCGCCAGGTCCCTGTGTCAGCCTGTGCAAAATGACGGCCTTTCTGTCACCCGCGTGCCGCTCTGGGATCGCGAGTTCGTGACAGGAGCAGTAATACTGATGTTGCACCTCTTCTGGTGATATTCTGAGTGTTTCTAAGTAAGTGCAAAAATTTCAATTCAAAGACATCAGAGAGAATTATTTCGCCCATAGTTAGGTGAAATTAAACAGAAGAGAATTTGATAAAACAGAACAAGAATATATTAAAGTGAGGTGAGTGGGATATGATGGAAAAAGAAGAGCTTTTGAGGCTTGCTAATCGTGGGAATTTAGGCAGATCTCTAAATTTCAATGAGCTTCGTTGCCTCTGTAAAAACGGGCATAATACTACTTACCTCGCCGAGCTTTTATATGGGTTAAATAAAACAATAAGTGAGAGCGCCCGATCTAATATCGTGCCTGTACTAGGCATTTTTTCCATGCCCCTTCCATTTTTACCTCTGCATGGGGGATCTTGATGCTAAAACGAGTATGGTAGGTCCTTGGAATTTGTAGATTTAACACACACAATGACAAACGCTAATGTTAAGTGACTCTGAAGTCCCAACACGCTCGAATTATAAACTTATTCCGCGCCACGCATATGAGCCACTGTGCTCCAAGGCTGTATGAAAAAGGGGGATCCCTTAGCACAGTGGAACCCTCCAATGACTACGTTTTTTGAAACCCTGTCCCCAAAAGGGACACTGGAATGTGGTGGTGTAACTTAGGCAGACCGCTGGCTAATGCCAGGGCAGTCATGGTGAGACATATTATGAATACATTAACAATTCCGTCTACTGGGTGCTACTCCTGCACGGGCTCTGTCCTAAGAGCCCTGCCCACTTAATCTCATCTGTGAGCTCCACACTGTTATTATATTCATTTTAAGGGTATAGTCCAGTAAAGATGTCCCTGAAGTGGCAGACTCTGTTTTAATCATTTCACAAGTGACTTTAATCTTGTGATTACAGAATCATTAGAAGTATGAAGAGTTCACGTAGGATTTCGGATATGATTCACCGCACTGTGCTGGGCAGGTGAGGAATTACATGCCACAGGGGTATGTTTGGAAATTCACAGAAAGTCTGAGGACACTGCCATGGAGGGTTTTAAGGGTCCATGATTCAAGGGACTCATGAGCAGCGAGAAACCAGGAATTTAGAAGACAAGGCCCGTTGCCTCCTTACCTGTAGCATGGCTTGTCCTGGGCACCATCTCCCCTTCATCCTCGGCAAAATAATCTCTGTGGAGAGAAACAAACAGTGAGATAACCTCTCTGCCCGGTCCCCAGTCCCTGGGGTGGCAGGACACCAGTGTTCTGTGTTCATTTATTTCTCCACAAGTATTCATTAAAGTCTTGCCATGTATCAGGGACAGTGCTAAGTGCTGGGGATACTAAGACAAGTCCCACAGGAAGGGTTCCTATCCTCAATAAGTATACCTAGGGACAGCCCCTGACCAACCAATTCCATGAGTATTGAACTACCATGTGGCAATGCTATGAAGGAAAACGCAGAGTGAGTCAACTAGTAGAGAGGCTCAGAGAAACTCAGAAAGAAGAACATTAAAACTGAGGTAAAGAGAACATTGACCAGCTGAAAAATGGGAACAGAGGAGTATTCCATCAGGGGTTACAGCAAAGACCCTGGGTTGGAAAGGAACAGAGAAAATTGGATTGTGACAAGACTTTGTCTGGCCTTGTGGGATGGGGCAAGGATACTGAGTTTTACGTGACAGGCAATGGGAAACCAGTGAAGGATTTTAAACGAGGGAATGAATGGTACATGATCAGATTTAGCTTTTAGGCAGATCGTTCTGGCTGTTGAGTGGGGCTGTGGAGGAAACAAGAATACATGGGGAAAGCAAGAAGTTGTGATGGTCTTAACCAAGGAAAAAGACCGTGGAGATGGAGAGAAGCGAAAAAAATGCAAGATATATTTAGGTAGCAGAATTGACATAGAAAACTCAGAAAGCAAAGTCCATTAATGGAAATGCTAAAAACACCAAAATTCAGCAGCAAGAGGTGTATCTATCCAACACAGCGAAGACCACCATCCCTAGCACAGAAGGGGGGAAAAAAATCTCAAAATTATTTAACAGATACTTGTCAAGGGCCTACTATGTTTTTAGGCACTGTTTTGAGCTCCATGAATGTAGCAGTGAACAAAATAGACAAAAACGCCTGCACTCATGGAACTTAGAGCAAAGTAAGGGGAAGCACGGAAAATGTGTAGCTAGCAACTGGGGACAGGGAGTGCTGGAGGTAATGGGGGTGACGATTTTCAGTAGATAAGATTTCTCTGGAAAGCACTAAGGATAGCCATGGGGTATTTGGGGAAGAGTCTCCTAAGTAGAGAAAATCAAATGCAAAGGCTCTTAGGAGGCGCACGCCAGAGCGGTTTGGGAACAGCCAGGAGGCCAGTGTGGCCGGGCAGAGTGAGCATGTGGCGAGGAGCAGGAGGTGAGGTCAG